TATCAATAAACTGGTAGGTGGTTCTAAATAAATAAAATCAAGTTTTGACTATTTTAATAGGTGTGAAAGATCATAATCAAATTTCCATTTTTTGCTTTTATTCATTTAACTCAAAAGTTTTAAAGGCTGTCATTTGCTATAAAATAAATATATGCTCGAAAAATTGTTATAATGAAACCGCTTGAATCGATTGCAAACCTGGAGGCTTTTTAACCGATAAATGTGCAACTGGTTTAATAGATTTTCCCATAATAATTATTGTTTTATCCTGGACAATTGACTTCCATTGTCTCTGAAATATAAGCTCATTAATTTTGTAATTGAAAGAAAGTAATATTTTTTTATCGCGAAAAAAGAAATAATTATTTTTATTTTATAAAGAATTAACCGCTATTTAATGTTCGTTGTATATTAGTTGAAAACTAACTTTAGAAATCTGTACTCAATTTATTGAATTTTATTATTTCATGATGCCAATTCTTGGAATCGCGTATGGTATCCTCTTCCAGAATTCGAGCAGTTGGCACCTCTGGTTAAACATTACAGAAAGCAGTCAGTTTAGTTATATTGGTGAATTTCGGTAGAAAGAGAATTTCATTCTCCTTATTTATATAGCTTTTCAAAAATGTTCCCTATAAATGGAAAGGGAAGATATGACAAAATTATTCCTATTTTTAAATAGGGTTATTCCTTCATCGTGCGTTATAAGACCAAATTTTGAGTTAAACTCATAAATATTAGACAGTTTAAAATGAATAAGTAATGAAAGACGTAGTGGATGAAATCGGATATGAAGTGGAAGTCAAAGGGGTTAAAGAAATAGGTCCTACTTTAAGAAGGCGAAGAAAAGGTGGAGTTAGGAACAGTGTGACATTGACCCAATTTAGCAACCTTTGTTCGTTGATGCGCAACTGAATGTTGAGAGATGGAGGCATATCTCAGTAAGTGCTCAATACACGTGAAAATTGAGTCGTTTAAAATGTCGTTGAGCGTGGCTTCCTAACAGTCAACAAATACCCATAGAAGAATTCATGAAAATAAGCGTTGGAATGCTAAGATTTAGATGAGTAAAGTAGATTTTGCTGGTGACAATATTCAACTCATTGAAGTTGCAATTTCAGTGCAATGACTCATACCAATCTTGTCTTATTACATTATACTATTAAACTAGCACAGGACAATGTGGACTCTTCAGTTCTTTCGTATGAAGGGATGTTTTTCTAGTAATCAAAATTACCGACATACGGATTTTGGTGCGTCACAAATAGTAGTATTCATGATTTGTGCATTATAAAGGAAATATTACAGCATTGTATTTATCGAAGAATTTGAATTAATTGATTCAATTCTTCCCTGAAGCTTTTGTGTTCACGATTTTAGTATATGTAGATGCTATAGCAGTTTAGTATAATGAGTGCGCAATTTCCTTATCTTCGAGGATTTAACCTCAGCTGTAAGTTGATTTAAGCAAACTAAAGTAGAAAGCTATGTTGTAATGAAATTTTGCGACTTAAAATAAGACAAATTGGCACTCAATTGCAAGATGATGAGGCATAACGAAATATTTTAGGATTAGGCTAATTTTTTTGGCTAACAATTAGGCATATATATATTTCAAGGCAATATTTTGCTGAAAATCTTATTGGATTTTAAGAAATTTCTGGAGGCAAACACCCACACCTTATCCCTCTCCCTGGCCAGTAAAATTACAATTATGGCATTTTTCAATGATTCAATAACTTAATAATGACAAAACTAATTTATGAGTAAAGTACAACATTATGTAGCTTCCGATATTTTTGTTTACCCGTCTTCTTTTTGGAGTGGAATACTCAATTGTGTGGCGTTTATTTTCAATCCAATTAGGAAGACAAATTTCTCATACAAGGACGATAATTAGGTTAACACAACAAAATCTCTAAATTTAGTTCTTGAATTCAAATGAAGGTAATTTCTGCTTCGCGGGGAATAAAAAATGGTCTCGTTAGAGAAACATCTTTTGACTTTTGTTTCAGTCTTCTTAAATTTAAATATTAATAATATATATTACGAGTATAATTATTCTGTCTGGATTTAACAAAGTGCATGGACTATTCAACTTGGTTCCTAACATATGGCAAAAAACTTTGGTTTCGAACACTGATTCTCGCTTCGTAGGTGCAAAGAGAAAGTGCTTTTTAAATAGGAAGATCATTACATGATGATTATACTGCAACTATTCTGATGAGATTATAATTATAAATCACTATGGCTTACCATGGAGGCTCCATTAATGAATCTCTTTTATTATATTTGTTTGACAACCGACGTATTCGAAAATATGAATATGACGCAGGAATACACCCTTTCTGAGAGCGTAGTAAAATACTATAGTTCCAGTGAGTAAAATGAAAATAATCTCACTCAGTTATAGGCTTGAGAGTTTCTCCTGTATTTTCCCAAATTTCAAAGAAGCATTCACATCTGTCTTTGGTTTTAAGGATGCTTTTTTTGGCAGACATTGGTTATCCACCGAATTTATTATTAAGCCATGCAATGAAATACCTTAATCTTGAGCACGAAATAGCTCAGAATTAATGAACCACTGAAATATAAACGGTGAAATTAATGGTGTGAAATAAATGCACGCTAGAACTAGCAAATAATTCTTACGCATTACTCCTTGCTTTATGTGAAAAAAGTTGTTAGTTGGCAGGAAATGTAACCAACACAGTTACGTATTTAGCGGTTATAGACAATTTTGCATTTTAGATTTCATCATGACTAAAGTAACTAGCTTCGCCGAGAAGTCGGTATGGGAATTTTAAAGAATTGCGACTTTGACATTGCTGATAAAATTTGTAATGGTGTCCCAAGAACACGAATTAAGTTTATCCATGGTCTTATGTTGGAGGATACGGGGTGCGCGATAGATTTACCTCCACGTGGTGCACCCTGGGCAACGTATACTCATACGGAAAAAAGTCTATTAACTGGCAGTTGATTTCTGACTTCAAACTACCCTCAACCCATTGTATGTCATATTCGACTACATCCACAGTACTCACCTCACCTTTTCCCACTTTTGTGTCTGCCTCTTTTACATCTTTGAAACTCTCTTCTGTTCCTCCTCTCCCTCTCGACTTGATTCCCTTTGATGTTCCTTTCCCTCTGTAAAATAAACTAAAGGGCTAATGATAACTTTCACAACGCCTGGCATTTGATATAAATAAATAAATGTTGGAGGATACTGCCGCCCAATTGCACTATTAAATACGGTGTCGAGGACGCTGAAACTCTACTAACCATTGATCATCGATTGGCTGAGAGGTTTCTGCATTTTGACCTTATTTACTCCCTAAAGCGACCAGGATCACGGTCACAAGTATCAGAATTTTGTGTTGAATTTAATCGTTTTACGGCCATGAATCCCCCAGGCCAACGGTTAAGGCTTTCATTTACCTTCCTAATTCAATTTTGACTCAATTACTGGAGTGCTAATTAGGAAATATAATTTTGAACTTATGGAGAAAAACTGAATGTCACTATTAGTAATAAATTATTATATACACAATTCAATAGGAAAGTATGCTGTTTTGTATTACATCAAGTATTGCGTCTGGACTACCAATTGCTATTTTGAAGTCCATTACTGTTTGAGCTCATAACTACTGCTTTCCATGCTCGATTTAAATTCTAATTTAGCACCAAAAATTTGTTTTCCCTTCCTTTTTAATGATTATATGAACTAGATTTTCTGCTACTCCGACGCACCTTCAATCGCTTCTGACATTTATTTTTGTTGGACGCTTTTTTAAAGTGATATAATAATAATAGTAGCAGTAGTTCAAAACCGTCAAGCTAATAACTTGAAAATTGCAACGTTGAATCGCCCCACACCTTTTTTTCGTTATTACGGTGCATAAAATCACGCCAAAGTGTTTTAATTTAATATTTACTTAATTCACTAGGATCATGCTTTTCACGTGTAATATACACTAATTATCAATCGATAGATTTTTTATCAACCAATTTGCGGCTATCGATTTGTCAGCTGTGAATCGTTGTAATGCGCAAGTTAATGGCTCAATAGGTGGAACATTTAAAAATGGGTTATCCTATAGCAGCAATTGTTGCCCTCCTTCTATCTCTGGCAATACTTGTCAACACGTTAATTAACTTTCTTGTGAACACTAATTTATTGCCGACACATAGATTTCGTATCGGTAATGTTACCCTCTTTACACATAGAAAAATCATCTCAAGAATACGTTTGTATTCTATGTTTGAAATTTCAACTATATCAGTTTGTTGCATCTATTGGATCGTAAGGATAGCTCTTCAACTCAAATCCTTTAAATCAGAAGATCGAAAGTGGAAGACGCATTCAATTCTTGAAAAGCTCTGGGTTCGTCTTCTAAGACCTATTACTATTGTGACATTTATTGCAAGCATTTACACAACTGTTGTGGCCAATGATGACATTGACATTCTGCCGCGTGATATATGGAACTTTTTCACCAGAATATTTCAACAGCTTCAGAGAAGAAATTTAACAACTGGTATGTTAATTTTATTGATTTTGATCTCAAATTTAATATTTTGGACTTCTGTTTACTTTAGGAATATATCTTCAAAATTTATTGTAACTTTATTCTGGATTATAAGTTTTAGAAATGAGTGAGTTTGTAATGAAAGGAAATTTGATGTTTTGTGAAATAAAATTATTTGAATATGATGATTACCAGTTTTTAATCGATCGAATTAATTATATAAGCAATCCATACAACTATTATTTTAATGGAAACTCTTTATATTTATTACTATAAGGATATATTTCCTGTTTAAAATAGTTGAATCTTTAAATTGATAAAAAATTAGTGATTAACGACACCCCTACGCAAGATTTTGCTTCAAAACAGAACTTTTTAAATCGAAAAAGAATGAAGATAATGAATTTAATTAGTTGAAGGCAAAAGGTAGACAATAGTTAAAGTTTAAGAACCCTGATAATGGAGCATGTCTAAGTTATCTCATAAAGTGACCCTATTCTAAAGGTAACACTTATCCATGGGCCATCGGAAGTAGAGTGAAATACGCTCATGAAACCATTGATTCGTTTAAGTACCAACACTAGCCCCAACCATGCCGAAACGAGGAGGTAGAGAGTTGAGGGAATAAAGTGTATATATGAGGAGTAGAAATGAATGTTAGAGGAAAGGAGTCGGGAGTAGGTAGCAGACGTTAGTAGTAAGTTCAAGCAAATCGGGTTATAATAAGGGCGAAATGAAGCGTTGGTTGTTGAACAACTAGATGTTAGAATCAAGTTATTATTTAATTGGTGCCAAATACACAAAAAGACCCGGTTGATTTATATGTGGGATTGTCTCTAGGTGCTTATTTGTGTTAATTAAATACAGAGGAAATAATTATAACCTATAATGGAGATCTTGTACTTTTAGTGCAAAGATGTGATAGACACTCAGAAATATGTACAAGAGCAGAGTCGACAAAGATGTATTTCTTTTGTATTTATAATATATTTGATCTCAAGTCACTTTTAATCCACGTTGTGGGTTCAGGAATAAGGTTGAAATTCCATTTTGTCAAAAACAATCAATTTTAATTAATTGACTTAAATGGGGTTGCAATTATATACTTACAATCCTTCGAAAGCGCATTTGTACATTGTCAGTTGAGCTTTATGAGAGATCAAATTCATTTTGCAAATTCTATACCATTTATAGTGTACCTTGTGCTATCCCAGGGGAATAAAATCTTGCCAATCTATGCCGAACGTATGCTTTCTTTAGGCGCCTTTGATTAGTTTAATCTGGATTTAGCACAATTTGCCCATTATGAGAAAATGTAGTGTTCTGCAAGCTATTACCCCTATTTGCCTTTCATTTAGTAACTCCACCTTCTCTGAATTTCTCACAGTGATTAAGTTTGCATTAGGTTTGCACGGATCATGTTCGTACAATGTAGTGGCTAGACATTTAATAGAACATTTCATATTAAGTATATCTTCCCGAACCGTCGAACCCCCAAAACGCCCCGTTCTGACTCCACAATCTGTAGTCCAGGGCCATAGTACAATTCACCTTCGCTTCCATGTCAGCTCTTATCACAATCGCCAAAAGTGTCATGAGCAATATACGCCCGCATACCGATAAAGATGACTTAGAGGATTCAGAAGTGGTAATCACGAAATGTTACATAAAATTGATGATGTCTGTCGGTATCTTGTCACTTAAACATAAATTTCAGTTATAAAGGTTTTACTTGTTGCATGAATATGCGCCTGGTTATTTAACAAGACAGAGGTACACTCCTTGAGTTATATTAACTGCATATTATGTGGTGGGAAGACTCACTTTGAAACATTCAAGTGAATTGCAAGAACCATCTAACTAAGTCAGTAATAAGAACATGTGGATTAAATGATAAAATCTCATTTCGGTTTTTTGCCAGATGGAAAAATGCAAGAAGAAATGGTCAACTATATGGAAGCCATTCAACTTGAATTCCAGTGTTGCGGAGTCGACGGTGTTGCAGATTGGTACAGCGTATCACCGTTTGTAGGATATGTACAGGATGGCCCGTATGTGCCTTTTAGCTGTATTGACACAGGCGAAATCACCGGCCATGGTCTTCAGTTCCAGCGAATTATTCACCCAATAGGTTGTGCAAGTGCTGTCGGAGATCATATGTACGCTCTTGCTTACCCATTGGTTGTCAACCCTGCGAAAGCCGATTTCTGGCTCACACTGAGTTTGTTAGTGATCAGTTTCCTAGATCGATACTTGGAACGTAGGTATGCTAGATCAAGTCCACATCCTCCAAAGGAAAGTAAACACATCTCCAATTCTCAACTACTACGAGCTATTAATGGCACCACTCTTTTAACAGAACCGGCCGAACCGAAGTTAGAGCCTACGACCACAAGTAAAGACAAGACTGAAAGGACCTATACCCCTGATTATGTTCTAAAGGATGGTGATCGACATGTTAGTGAAACCATTAGTCGGGTTTATAGAAGAAGACTTGACAATCCTGGACAGGTTAAAACCAGTAAATTTAGAAGACTTTTGAGATTCTACGCTCCGCTTATTGAAGCCACTCTATATACAGATGGTGATAGTCGAAATGAAGTTGAAGGAAATGATTACTATGGAGGCTTTATTGCTACTTTGTTTCGAGCTATCTGTTGTGGTCTATTAGGACTTCTAGCTTCACACATAATAGTGCTCTCCTTTCTGAGAAAGTTCAAAGATGCTCCTAAGGAGGCGGACATTGCTAAAAGAAATATATCCGCAGGCACAGAAGCGGAACAACTCGAAACACTGGAGGAAATGATGATTTTGACAAGCATTGCTGTTCGTGTTTGCTTCGTAATTGCTGCGATTGTCTCCAAGAGATTTAGATGCTTTCTTATTCTACTTGGACCCAATTTGGCACTTAACGCTGGTCAGTCGTTTATCGCGGCAGAGTTGACAAGCGTAGCAGTTGTCGGTCCAGTTCGAGAATTAGCCACAAACCTTAGATCTGCTGGTTCGACACTCAAGTGTCTGATGCATATCTCCTCTAATATATCAAGCGATGCCAATAGCATGCTAAAACCGGTTACTGAGAAGAAAGCTCATGGTCTGGATGATGATGATGATGATAAAGGCGATGAAGATGAAGGAACTGGAAATGGGACACAGTCCTATAGGAAGCGGAGAGTAAAAGAGATCTCGTATGGGAATGTTAGGCATCTCGGGGATTTCAACAATTTCTTCATGAGGGTTATCCAAAAGGCCTCGAGAGGAATTGGAAAGGGAACTACAAAGATGTTGAACCTTACGCTACGAATGCAGGATGAGGTGAGGTTGATTTAAAAATATTTCAACCTAGAAATTGAGTATGCAAAATATTTATTTATTTATAGCAAATGGCAGACTTCATGATAGTCATCATTAGTCCTTTAGTTGACTTCGGGCTTCACTGGGGGAGGAACTTCAAAGTGGTATAAATTTGAGAGGGGAACAGAAACGTGATTCACAGATGTAAAAGAGACAGACACAAAGGTAGAGAGTAGGGTAAGGTGAATACTGTGGAAGTGGTTGAAAATGACATACAGTAGGGTCATGGTAGTTTGAAGTCAACTGTCTGTTAATAGACTTTTTTGTATATTAGATTAGTGCAAACTTTTTTCAAATATATTTACGGATTTAACTGCTATTAAAATAGATTTGAGAATGCGTTATTTTAATTAATTCATTTTTTGGTAAATAACTTTAGCTATAGATGAATTCAATGTATTTAGGGTTATTTCGACCTCAACTGGTTATGGTAAAGGATAGTTTTCTAACCTGTACAAGGAGCACTTGCCGGAAGTTGATAAAGCCTCAAAAAACGAGCATAGATTCAAAAATTTTTTAAATGGAAAAGATTTCATTGATAATCAAAGACAAAATGTTTATTTATTTATATCAAATGGCAGGCGTTTTGATAGTTACCATTAGCCATTTAGTTGACTTCGGGCTTCACAGAGGGGAGGAGGAACATCAAAGTGAAAAAAGTCGAGAGGGAGGAACAGAATTGTGATTCAAAGATGTAAAAGAGACGGACAGACATAAAGGCAAAGAGTAGGTATGGTGAGTAGTGTGGAAGTAGTTGAAAATGACATTGTGGGGTCAAGATAGTTTGAAGTTAGAAGTCAACTGCCGGTTAATAGACTTTTTTTTAGCAGTATGAGTATACGTTGCCCAGGGTGCACCGCGTGGAGGTTGTAAGTACACGTTGCCCAGGGTGCACCACGTGGAGGTATTAGCAGTATGAGTATACGTTGCCCAGGGTGCACCGCGTGGAGATAAATCTATCACACACCCCTCAAAGACAAAATGCTGTTGTGTAGGTAAGAAACAATAATCGAGATTGAGCAAAATGTAGACTTTGTTATTGAGATTTCGGTGTGACTAAAGATGTGGCTTGAAGAATTTCGATTAAATTGTAACTTAGATAATTATTATTTTAAACGGGAATTGATTTTCACGCGCAATTATTGACAAGCATTTGCATTTGTTTTTCTTGATAATGACATATAGGAATTAGTAAATGCCTTTGATATCATGAAGCTCAGATCTTGGTTCATTTGTAATGAACCCTATTATTATTATTATTCATTATTAATTAATTTTTCCTGCAGTTTAACTGTCTTGTTTATATGAATTGTGCAGGTTTTATTGAAATACTAACTCTGAAATTCGCTTTACAGATTGTTAATCATGAAAAGATGTGAAGTGTTCTTTAAAGCAATATTCCTTAAAATGAGGTGTTAACAAGCCTCATCATGTGGTCCAAGTATTGGATATAATATGAGATGAAATGCTTGCTTTCAAGGTAGAATATTAAACCCAACTGGCTGGTACTCAACAGTTTTAATTAATTTAATTCACTTTTTTAAAGACTTATTTGATTTCTTCCTTTCTGACTGCCTTGAGCTCTAACTTATTAAAAAAATCATTAGTTGCGTGTCTAATTCGGGTTATTTAAGAGCCAAGCTTAATGGAATAGACAGATATTATCTCACTTTGAGAGTATTTACAATAATCAAAGCAAATAATGTTTTAAATCAATAAATAGATAATTTAAACTCGATAGAATGGTATCCAAACTTAGTTATCGACTCATATTCTACTCCTTAGATTGTTTTCCAGTAAGTTGAGACTTCTAGAGTAGTTGTCAAGCACTGTCATGGAGAGCGACAATCTTAGATGATACTTTACTTTATTTAAGTAGGAAAAAATACAAAAATGCGTATTTATTCAGGTGTGTGTTGTCTAATTTCATTGTTAAGGCTCTAGTCTTGACCACTTTACATTTGGCTTTAGTTTTCTGTCACTGTAATTTCACCGAGGTATTAGAAGTTGACTGCGCCAACATCCTAGCCAGTTTCAATGAAAGTACCCCCATAGCTAACATGGTATTTATTAATCCAATGAAATCTTTAACTTTTCAACCCTAGTTACTTCGCGATCCGTACGCTGAAACAAATACCGCAGGAACAGGTAATACGACAAATGAAAAGATTACTGAACAAGAGAATAAAGAAATCGATGCCACAAACGCTGGGGTAGATGAGCTCTTTCGACGTCACTTAGAGAAGATGGACGTAACAGAAAAGGAGAGATTGAAACAAAAAACTAGGGTTTTTCAAAGAGACGTAAAGAAAGCACTGAACAATCTGAACGTGGATCCTAACTCCACAAGTATGATACAAAACGCAGTTAATTTGGGTCATAAGATAGATCAAAATATGCGTGACCGTCTTCTCAAAGTCTGTATGATGATGAAAAAAGGAAAGGTCGAACAGTGTAACCAAGCTGCTGTGGTTGCCTGTTACAATATTCAGAGAGATGTCATCGCTACCACTCGACTTCCATTGTTTTTTATTGGACCCTGGTGTTCATCACAAGTGAACAAAGGTGGAGCATGCCCGGCTGCAGAAGCAGTTGAACTTGCCAAAAAAGATTGTAGTGGTATTGGCTATTCTTTGGGCCTGTTGGATGGATTTGGAGCACAATTTGCAGTGGCTCAACAGGGCCTTCAAGAATTCGCAAAGTCTTTTCAACTTGGTGTTAAAATGAGGAAAGTAAAGGAAACTGCAAAGAAAATTTTGGCTCTGCGATCTGGTTCCAAGGATGCTCTAGAACAGCTCTCATATATGACTCTGGACGCGACCAGAGGCGCCTATGCAATTGCTTTTCTGCTTGCCACATTAATGAAGCTACTCTTTCTTCTTCTCTTGATTAAAACGCAGGGATATATTACAAAGTATCTAACAAAAATGGATTTCGATAATATATATGTTGAAGGCGTGTTTGAAGATATAGATGAGCGTAGGAAGAAGGAAGGTAGGATGTATCTTCTTCCTTTGAAGAAATCCGAGAGGAAAGTAGTTTTCTGGAGGAAAATTGGCTACACAAAAAAAGAATGGGCTCGATCGATCACATCATTGGTAAAATCATCCGTATTGGGCATTGGCCTGTCATTTCTGTTCATAGCTGATGGATATCTGCATGAAATTCTTCATGTGCTTGATATTGTCACTCAAGGTGACATAGCTCTTGGAGGTGGCAATAAGAACCCTGATGCAAGCATTGGGGTAAATATTCGTGGTGGAAATGGTTTTGCAGCCGCCTTGATTAAAGGTATCGTGGAAGGATTTCTAAGTCTCTCCAACATTGACTTGAGCTATAAGCTCAGTGAGTGTGCCCCAAAAGTAGTTGCAACTTCTTCAGAGTTGAAAACCAAGTTTGCATTACTTTGGACATTACTGTTTCTTCTTGGAGCATTTTCGGGTTATCTTCTTAGACTACGTCATATTATTACGGGATTTTTCTACCCTCTTGCCCATCGCAAACGACAAATGCATTTATACAATGTCATGTTAGCAAATAGAGCTAGAGAACTAGCCACTAATAAAAATTTGCTTATTCAACGCGTAAAGGAAGAACAGTTGCAAAAGGAGGTTCAGGACCTTTCTAAACCAAAAAAGGTTCCTAAATTCCTTGCAAGGTGGAAGAAAGAGAAGGCTTGCTGTGTAATATGCCATGATGTTCAGAATGCCGGTCCAGACTTATATGTTTGCCCCGTGGATGGTTGCGCCACTTGTAGGCAATGCCAGCATCAAATTTGTAACGATCCGAAATTCTGTGTTGCTTGCTTAGATAGGAATGAAGAAAGCCTCGATAAAACTCTGTTGAAATTGGAAGAAATGTACAAAGAGAAGTCGCAGAAACAATGGAATATGTACTGAATAAAATATAAAATCCAATAATATAATATGACTAATTAATTGACCGCCATTCTGTTTCTAAATTAGTTTAATTGATACTGCGGTTGGATAAAATTAATCGTTTTTTTTTCTAATGAAATATAAAGAATGCATTCCCAGTCTTAACTAATTCCCAATATAAGGAAGAGGTACCAGCGCAATTAATATGCCAGAAGAGGGGGGGGGGGCAGTGAACCAGATGAAGGTCACATTCATTTCAGAAATGAGACTAAAACTCGCATACATAAGCCTGATAATAGGGTAAAAAAGAGACACAAATAGTCCAAGTGCAGATGAATGTCCCAAGTGAAAGATGTAGTGTGAATAACATAATTGTTGATAGATAAATTGAATAAAAAGGCCTTGCAAGATACCTAAAGGCCAAACATTTGTATGCGGCTCACATCTCAACGCTATTCCATTTATTATTTTATCGTGAGATTTACGTTATTAGAGACAGCAATGGAGGCTAGTGGGCTTAAAATAGGTAGAAAAACTGGAAATAAAGCAACCCTTTATTTAAAAAAATGGTTCTTATTTGTACATGTTACACAAAGGCAGCAATTAAAATTTAATAAATGATAGAAAATAAGGAAAAGCAATCATTGTTCAGCCAAATAGCCATACTAACAGGTAATATAATTTATGCTCAGTTGAATGCATTTCATACCCACAAAAGATAAAGTCTCAGTATAGAGGTGGGGGGTAAGGGGTTGGATAATTTGTAGATCAAATGGCGAAACCTTCTCCATTAAAAAAAATAAATAGTCCTTTATGACATTAGATAAGTGATGAGCGATTGTTTGTCTGCTTAGTTAATAGCCTCGGAAAGGTCTGTTTAATATCTTTGTTAGTTGTAGTTTACGCAGTAAAAATATATTTGTTTAGGCTCTAAAACAGAAAAAGAAGTCAATCGCTAGATCGTCACTAAATTTCCCAATACCTTTACCGTCATGTATTAATCTGGGAGAGTGGTTTAGTCACACATTTTTCACCAGCCATACAAACTGATTGCCCAAGAATAAATAGCCAAATTCATTACATTCAAAAAACTATTCTACATCGCGTTTTATTCATTAGCTATTATAAACAAAAGAATTTGTGATTATTCCAACTTTCTGAAATTTAAATATTAATCGCACTTTAGAGATTGAACCCATCTTAGGATCTAATATTAAGGCGGGCGTAATCATTAAAATGACTTTTCATTAATACACTAATAGTGTCAAATAATGGGAGACCTCAATAATTGCTACAATATCACATCTGTGAGTCGACTTTTAGTTGCTCCCAAGTAAAATATCACCCCTTGAAAGCAGCTTTTTCATCAACCTCTTTATCTGTGCTTAAATGCCAATACGAAAAATGCTCACGAAAACATAAGTGTTGGGCAACAATGTGAGTATACTACTTCCTTTCTACTGAACAGGATTATTCAGGCATGTTGGGCTATCCACACAATTGAATGTGAAACTGAGTTACTTGGTAGATGATCAGAAAATCAATTTACATTTTATGAAATTGATGGACTCGTCTCACAGAAAGATAGAGCAAAGTTAAATGTGCCTCTACGCATTAGAAAATGTCAGTATATTTAATAGCGTTCATTTCAAACAGTTAATTTCTTGTTAAATCTATAATCTCCTAAATATTTATTTATTTATTTCAAATGGCAGGCGTTTTGATAGTTATCATCGGCCCTTTAGCTGACTTCAGGCTTCACAGAGAGGAGGAGGAACATCAAAGTGACAAAACGTCGAGAGGGGGGACAGAATAATGCTTCACGGATGTGACAGAGGCAGACAAAAGAGCAGAGAAAAGGTAAGATGAGTACTGTTAAAGTGGTCAAATTTGACATACAGCGGGGTCATGGTAGTTTGAAGTCAACTGCCGGTTAATGGACTTTTTTGCCTTATGAGTATACGTTGCCCAGGGTGCGCCACGTGGAGGTAAGTTTATCGCACACCCCATCTCCTAAATATTATATTTGTTCAAGCTGCATTCGCAACTACTGTAATAAGGTTAATAAAATTGATGCTTAAAGACGAATTTTCAAAGACTTTTCCTACCTTCGCGTTCTTTGAACAAAGTATGCGGCCAAACTTTTCTGCACTTGGCATATTTTGTGGAGAGCAGCTCAGTTTGGTCAAAAAGCATAATATAAACGAAAGACGCCTTTTAAACCTGTCAAACAGGGAATTGTCACCCATAAAGATAAATTTCAAACGAAGTTGTTAAGATGTGAGTTCCAAAATCATTGCTCAATATGATCTTCAAGACATATTTAAAGAAATT